TGCTGTGAGCTGTAATGCCATAGCACTCTACCCAGGGGGATAGCTTAAGGCTCTGTCTCAAAAAAAAAAAAAAAAAAAGACCTCCCACAGTAGTAGGAATACAAGTATGAGCCACCACATTCAGCCTGTTTTAAATGATGTCAAATACCAGAACAACTGTGAAAAGCTGGGAGACCTGGAGGAAAATAGGTAAGCTTTTTCTACACTGCTGGATCTTACATCCCTGAAGCTATGGATGGAGGATGCTAAAACCCAGTGATATCTATTACCAAGTATTCCTAATAAAAAGGAAAATGAGTACATTATATGAGATGGAAATATCTCCTTAGAAAGAATCAAAATCACAGCAGTGTACACAATTGTAATTGTGTAATTGTGCACATAATCTGCAAAAGTATGTGCCTCATACACGCATTGCGTAGTGGGCATTCATGGTACCTCAGTGTATTAAAAGCTTAGGCTTGCAAGAAGTGGTCCAAAGCCTGGAAGAAGTGGTAGTCAGTTGGTGTAAGATCTGATAAATAGGTAGATGATAGAGTGTTTCCATGTCCATTTCTGTAGCTTGAACAGCGTTGTTTGTGCAACAGCGTTGTCTTGCAAGAGGATTGTCTTATATCTATTGACCAATTTCGGCTGCTTAATTGCAAGCTTCCTCATTATGTTAGGTAGTTAATTAGAAATTTGGCTCTCCTAAGGAAGGAGAACAAAGGCGGGGTCCCTAGACCTCGATCTCTGTACTGCCTGCAGAGACCTCCATCTCTGTACTGCCTTCTGTCCCAAGTGATTGCTCATACCTAGAGAGGAGGTAAAACCCTGCCAACCTACCGGTCAGAACTTAGTGTGCCAAAACTGCAAAAGGATGTAGAAGACTCTGCCAGGGGTCCTCAAACTTTTTAAACAGGGGGCCAGTTCACTGTCCATCAGACGGTTGGAGGGCCGGACTGTGGGCCCTGGGATGAGTCAGCTGCTAAGCAGGACAGGCAGTGGTGGCAAAAAAACCAGCGGGCAGATAAATGTCCTTGGTGGGCTGTAGTTAGAGGACACCTACATCTAGCCCATGGGTCTGGAGTTGTTTTTTTTTTTTTTGAGACAGAGCCTCAAGCTGTCTCCCTGGTTAGAGTGCTATGGCATCACAGCTCACAGCAACCTCCAACTCCTGGGCTCAAGCAAGTCTTTTGCCTCCGCCTCCCAAGTAGCTGGGACCACAGGTGCCCGACAACGCCTGGCTATTTTTTTTGGTTGCAGCCATCATTGTTGTTTGGCGGGCCCAGGCTGGATTTGAACCTGCCACCTTAGGTGTATGTGGCTGGCACCTTAGCCACTTGAGCCACAGGCGCCAAGCCGGGTCTGGAGTCTTGAAGGTAACCTTAAGCCTTAAGGCTAATCATTGTGTCATTACTTAAATCTACACCCTCCCGTGGGCTCTCAGAGAGGCTTATGGGAGGTCTCCATGGGCAGTAAGATTCTGGTTCCAAGGTGACCTTGACTGATGAGGTAGACCCAACCCAGACAGTATAAAAGAAAATCCCCAGACATAACCCTGGTCTCTTTGCCTTTGCCTTTTTGTCATGACAGTGGAAGCCTGTTTGCTGTTTATAGTGAAGGTATCTTATGTAGTAAACCTGTTTCTTCCTCAATAAACTTATTTCACTTGCCTTATTTTGAGGTGTCTGGTCCTTTTTCAAACAAGTAGGCTCCAAGAACTGAGAGCACAGATAGCTGCCTGAAACCCCAACATTTTAGGATGCAGGCAGCTCTCTTGAAACCTGACAATCTTGCCAGCAAATTGGTTGCAGTTGACATTTGCTATAATAGATTGACCAGGCTTCATGAAACTGACAGTGGATAATACCAGGGCTGGACCACCAAACAGACACCATTAGCTTCTCTTGATGAATATTCGATTTTGGACTATGTTTTGGTACTTCACCTTTACCCAACCATTGTGTTAAATGCTTGCAATTGTGAAAAAGAACCCATTTTTCTTCTTTTTTCTTTCTTTCTTTTTATTTTTATTGTGTGTGTGTGTGTGTGTGTGTGTGTGTGACGGTCTCACTATGTAGCCCTTGGTAGAGGGCTGTGGTGTCACAGTTCACAGCAACTTCAAACTCTAGGGCTTAAGTATTTCTCTTGCCTCAACCTCCCAAGTCGCTGGGACTATAAGCACCCGCCACAACACCTAGCTATTTTTTTGTTGCAGTTGTTTAGCTGGCCTGGGCCAAGTTTGAACCCACCACCCTCGGTGTATGTGGCTGTTGAACATAACCACTGTGCTACAGGTGCCAAGCCACGATGGAACTTTTATATTCAAAAATAACACGAATTTTTGACTTAGCTATGGTTTCACAAAACTTGCTCTAAATTTCTTTCTTTTTTTTTTTTTTTTTTTGAACATGGGGTTTCACTCTTAGGCTGATCTCAAACTCCTGAGCTCAAGCAATCTGGCTGCCTCAGCCTCCCAGAGTGCTAGGATTATAGGCATAAACCACCACACCCAGAAATTTTAAAGATAATTCATAGGGCTGGGAGTGGAGGCTCACGCCTATATTCCTAGCACTCTGGGAGGCCAAGGCTGGTGGATTGCCTGAGCTCACAGGTTCCAGATCAGCTGAGCCAGAGAGAGACCTTGTCTCTAAAAATAGCTGGGTGTTGTGGCAGGCACCTGTAGTCCCAGCTACTTGGAGCCCAAGAGTTTCAGGTTGTTGTGAGCTATGATACAATGGAACTCTACGAAGGGCAACAAAATGGGACTCCATCTCAAAAAAGAAAGAAAGAAAGAAAGAATCATGAACCAAAATGTGCATTTGAAATAATGAGGATGTACCTTCACAATAAAAGTAAAACAGGAAGTGTCAAAGTGAAATGTCAGAGAATTTTAACTGTCAAACTTAATCAGGAAATGGGACACTTCATACTAGTTCACTACTATACCCACATTCTAGCCAATAAGAAGAAAGAAAGAGGGCAGTGCCTGTGGCTCAGTGGGTAGGGCACCGGCTCCATATACTGAGGGTGGCAGGTTCAAACCCAGCCCCAGCCAAACTGCAACCAAAAAAAATAGCCAGGCGTTGTGGTGGGCGCCTGTAGTCCCAGCTACTTGGGAGGCTGAGGCAAGAGAATCGTTTAAGCCCAGGAGTTGGAGGTTGCTGTGAGCTGTGACACCACAGCACTCTACCAAGGACTCTGTCTCTACAAAAAAAAAAGAAGAAGAAGAAAGAGGAAGGCAAAGGTACACCATTTTCCTCTAAGACACACTGTTTCCACTCACATTCTGTTGGTCAGAACTCAGTAGAGTGCTGTGACGTCACAGCTCACAGCAACCTCAAACTCTTGGGCTTAAGTGATTCTCCCTCAGTGTCCCAAGTAACTGGGACTACAGGCTCCTGCCACAATGCCTGGCTGTTTTTTTGTTGTAGTTGTCATTGCTGTTTGGCAGGCCCAGGCAGGGTTAAAACCCACCAGCGCCAGTGTATGTGGCTGGGCGCTGAGCTGCAAGGAAATTTTTTTTTTTTTTTTTAGAGACAGAGTCTCACTTTGTTGCCCTCGGTAGAGTACCGTGGCATCACAGGTCACAGCAACCTCCAGGTCTTGGGCTTAGGCCATTCTCTTGTCTCAGTCTCCCAAGTAGCTGGGACTATAGGTGTCCGCCACAACACCTGGCTATTTTTTGTTGCAGTTTGGCTGGGGCTGGGTTTGAACTTGCCACCCTTGGTATATGGGGCTGGTGCCCTACCCACTGAGCCACAGGTGCCTCCTGGAAAATTCTTATACTGGGCAAACCAGTGCCCAGTGTTACCAAACTGAATTGAGGTCTACTTACCTGGTACAGTAGAGCCAAATACTGACACAGAGATTTGCAGCAGGAGTAAAGGGGCATTTATTGCATAGTGGCAAGCAAGGAGCATGGCAGCTAACTTGAAGGTCCTCAATGGCTTACAAGCAAGGGTTTTTAAAGATAGGGGTACATTTCAGGAAAGCAGATATTTCAGGCAAAATCATAAAATCAATACATGGAGGTTACACATTGGTTTAGTCCCCAAAAGGGAGGATATCTTGAAGTGGGGGGTTGTGGGTCATGGGAGGATTCTGAAATTCTTTGATGCCTATGGATGTGACTCTCTCTAGGTTCATCAGGAAGAAATTTAGAACAAAGAATGGTGGCCCGAGTTTAGTCATTTTTTTCTTTTTTGAGACAGAGTCTCACTCTGTTGCCCCCAGTAGAGTGCTGTAGTGTCACAGCTCACAGCAACCTCAAACTCTTGGGCTTAAGTGATTCTCTTGCCTCAGCCTCCCAAGTAGCTGGGACTACAGGGGCCCTCCACAACGCCTGGCTAGAGTTTAGTCTGTAGTTCCCGCTTATCAGAGGTCTACCTGATAACATATTTCATTTGGTGAGGATTTCTGAAGAACAACTCAGGAATATACGTTAAGAAGTTAGTTTTTATGGGGAACTAAAATACCTTATGACTCCAGCTCAGCTTGGGAGACTTGTTACAATAGTCTTCCTTAGTAGGTTGTGCTCATTGACTTTTCAAAGCTAGAAGGTACCTGGAATTTCCCTTAAAGGGACTTAAGATTTTTCTTTAATTCCATGCTTGGGGGGCCCAGAAGATCCCTAAGAGGAATCTCTGCTGTGTCTCACTAGTGGGTGTGAAGTGGTTTCTCCTGGTGATTTTGATTTGTTTTTTTTTTTTTTTTTTTTTTCGCAATTTTTGGCCAGGGCTGGGTTTGAACCCTCCACTGATCCCCCATTCCTTTGAGCCACAGGCGCTGCCCATTGATTTGCATTTTTTAATGGTTGATAATATTAAGCATCTTTTCACATGCTTATTGGTGGAACTTAGATTTATGTTAGAATGAGATTCTTGAGCAGGGACCTATATAGAATTGGCATTTAGTAGTCTGAACTAAATTCAGTGCAAGGACTGAGAATGGGCCCAGTCACCTGGAAACTAGAAAAGATTGAAATGAATATGTCACTGTCCCTGGGTATAGCCAAGATCTAGGGAATTTTAAATTAATGACTGAATCAAGGAAGCAAGATTAAGAATTTAGATGTCAGGAATCAGAAGTCAAGGAGTTTCCTAAATTAAACTCGGATGTTAAACCTGTACAACAGTGGTCAGTTCAAGACCAAGGTAAGCCAAAGCCAAATACTTGAGTCCATGGGAGTGATTAAAACTGGTTTTATGTAGGGAGTTATCCTTCATCTATTCCTCAGCACAGGGCCAAGAGGATGCAAGGCAAGAATAGTATCTACATTTTGGTGCCAGATCCCGAGTTAAGAAAGAAAGGTGTATATTAAGGAGGAAAAGAAACTTTAACTATGTTCAGGTGTGCCTATAATCAGGTTTGCTTTTATAGAAACTACAATGACAAACATCACCAGCACAAAACCAAGCTTAGAAAAGTCAAGGATCATTTAACTCATGAAGTAGAACTACGAGATGAGAAAATTGAACAACTTGAAAGTGAAATTGGAACATTGCAACAACAAATGGAAAAGGTGAGAACAAAGATAAAAGGTGAAGAGCTCACCAACAATGCTGGTAGTTGGCCAGTTGGAGAAAGTCCACTTGCTTTTTAAATTATTTGGGTCTCTTTTACAGCCCTTATTTTCATTTATTTCCATTGTACTGCCTTTCGGTGTAAGTGATTCTTTTTTTTTTTGAGATGGAGCCTCAAGCTATCCCCCCTGGGTAGAGTGCCATGGCATCACGCTCACAGCAACCTCCAACTCCTGGGCTCAAGCGAGTCTCCTGCCTCAGCCTCCCAAGTAGCTGGGACT